TAATCGTATCTTTCTAATTAGCTTATTTTTATATAAAGCGTTCTAAAATTACTTATAAAAAGATTAATATAAACTTAAAACATATGTAGAGTATACTGCATTATTTTCTTTAGTACTTATGTTATGTCTATTAACATTTTTTTTTCTACACGTTTTAGTCTTTCGTCCATAATTTTTGAGTTATTGTGTAATATTTCTGATAAATTAATGAGTCCATCTAACATTTTGGAAACAACTGTTAAACGCTTGTTTGTGGAAATTTTGTTGATTACCTAATTGATTTATTAACTGTTCATATCGTTGAGCATCTTCCTGATCTAAGTTTCCAGTTATCATTTTAATAATAGAGCCTAGAGGGTTCAATATTCCTCTTCGTACTCGGTGTGAAGGGATTATTTGCCTAATCTTTTCAGTAGTTATTCTTTCTAAATACTCTACTTGTTCCCTTATTCCTAAAAAATCTTTAAACTAAGGCTTATCATCACTTACTATCTTACTAAAATTACTATATTTCCTATTGTTTTATTCTAATTCCATCAGTAGGCCATTTAAATCTAATACCTTAAAAATAAGCCAGTTATCTTGTTGGATGAAGGCTGTTCCCTGTCTTACGGATCCCTGAATTGTTTTCAACCTTTTGAAGTTGAAGGCCCAAGCTGGGGCTCGTGAGTGTCATCGTGATCACTAAGCACCACCTTTGGAGGTCGTTTTATGTTTTTAATTGGTACCTTTTTGTGTTTACCTCTAATTTTAATAGGGATAGTGTTTCTTTCAGGTTTTCCTGTAACTATGGCCTTTTCAAAACAAGGTTTGTACTTACTTCTACGAGTGTTTATTAATTTTGTGAAAATTGTTTTCCCTTCTGGTAACGGGACGTCGGATTCGCCACCGCGTTTTTCTCTAGAGTTTTCCTTAAACGTTAACATTTTATCAGATATGATTTTGTATAAAACTTTTATTCTTTTGGCGTGATCTTTAATTAATTTTTGCAAGTATCGTTTCTCGAAGTCTATATTGAATGCGTTTTCAGAATCTACATGGCCAAACACTACTTCAAACGGTGTTAAAGTTGTTACAGTATGAATCGCATTATTATATGCCATGATGAGTGATATAATAGATGCGGCGTCGGTACATTGTTGTTCGTATTTTGTCAGTCTGTAAATTTCAATTAAGGTGGAATGAAAACGTTTAACTATTCCCATTGAATTAGGGTTCCTAGGTGTGCCGATATGTATTTGGATTTTATAGAGTGACATCAATTCTTTCAATAGATCGTTGTTGAATTCAGTACCAGAGTCGCAGCTTATTTTCTTAGGTATGCCGTAAAATGAAAAGTATTTTATTAGCGCGCGGATAACGTCAGGTGTGCCTTTGATAGTAATTTCAATTGCCTGTCTTAGTTTGCTAAAAGCGTAAACTAAGGTGAGGTATGTTTTTCCTTCGATACTAAATATATCTATAAATAATTCATGGAATGGGGCATGTTGCTTTTGAGTTAACTGTAAATATGGTTTCAAAGGCTTTCGGTCATATTTCATATGTTTACAGGCTTCACAAGAATTAATTACTGCTGATATAGTTTCTTTCATGTTATTCCAAAAGAAGTGTCGCCTGATGCGAGTAAAAGTTTCTTGAATACCTCTGTGACAGGTTTTTCCGAGATGAAATTTCAGAATAACGGCTTTCTGTTCATTTTCATCGTCAATAAAAACTATTCTTTCCGTACACTCATAAAATTGAATTGATCCACCTTTAAAAAGCCTAATTACCATGTTGCTGAATTGTTTGCGATGTTCCGTATCTCCGAAATATATAAAATATATCTTTTTGGGTTTTATGTATTCTTTCAGGAATTATTTGATTAAATAATTACACAATTACTCAATAATTTTAGCTCACAGAATTTGATGTGAATCTAAACTTATACTTACTTTAGGGGTTGCAGAATTTCATGCACTAACCTACTTACTTCTATGTTTCTTTAAATTAACTTATTACAATTTACGTTTATATCAATTTAACTCTAACAAAGTCTTAAAACTATCGTTAAGATGAGAGATGTCGATCTCAAAATAACAAAAGAAAAGTGGAGAGGGCTGGATTTGAAAGGTGAAAAGGTGACTTACCAGTACATCGCTGCCTCAACACTCGCACAAAATACCCTTAACGCTTTTGGATTTGCGTTCTTGACAAATTTATTTGTTCTTTTGAATAGCCGTTTTTAGCAATCGCGACGTAGTTTCCCCTTTTTAGGTAAGCAGAATTTGATGCTCGAACCGATAATTGAGAAGTACGTGCAGCTAGAGCGACTATCCTGTCCTCAGCGCCAGTCAAGTAGTGAGTCCGCGAAAAAAGGGTTTTTTAAAAACTTAAAGTTAAAATGAATACAACCGGTCCGATTTGAGGTCCGTTTAATACTGTATATTACAAGCGTTCTATTATATTTATATCCTATTCTTACAGGCCTACGTGACCGTTGTGCTGACACATTGTTCTCACGCTCTACAAGGAAACGTTACTTAGTAAGAACTAAGAGTGGTTCGTAAATCGTGTAAGAGTGGTTCGTAAATCATGTAACAGCACTTCGGCTATTGAAATATAAAGGATCTTTGTACTACTATGTTGCAATGGTTTTGTTTATATAAAATATAATTATGGTGGTGACACACGGGGTTGTTTAAATAGCTAGAACGAGACGTTAATGTTACTATACCAAAATTCAATCTTCGTGAAACGTGGCGTACTTTACTGTCCGCCTTGTGTATCTTATGAAGTTTGTTTTAAGACATATTATAATTAATTATAAAATTGAATTATAAAACGTGACTCATCCAAAACTAAAATCCATTAGAGATTGTAGCGACAAATAATGTACATGATATTTTTCTTTCTAACAGATGGGTAAGCTGGTATATTTATTTTTACATTACATTAGATTACCGTTGAGGATAAAAGCGAAGACGCGCGTCGTTAAGTCAACAAAATGTGTGGTCCTCGTCGGATGTACGCCATTTGTACGAACACTGGACTTCCGATTTTTTTCCTTTGTCACGCTCTAATAAAGAAGCTCTGTACTAAACGCTTTATATGCTGGTTTGTAGTTTTCCACCGGAAATGACTTATCTCGCTGTTTTCCTATTTTGTTTATTCGTAATCAGATTTCCTTTTCGATTTCTGAAGACGGTTGAATGGTCTTATTCAAGGAATACATTAGCTAGACGATTAGTAGATAAATTTATTCAACAGGTATTGTCAACATAATTTTTTTAATTAAATATAATTCCATTTATATCCATGTTAGAGTTATATCTTGCATTTTTTATTATATCATATTCCTTATGTATTGCATTACATGTTCACGTCTCCTTGGGAGGCCTAATCTCTTGAGTTATTTAATCCGGCTCAAATAGCGACATCATTAATGCCATACGAAGGACAACATCTATGCCACAGATCATTTAAACATTGACATACTAAACCTGCTACTGCGTGTAAATAATAAGGATGATATTCGCTTACCAAAGACAGTTTTGGAACACTTGTTATTGTTTGTATGAAATTTAATATCATGTCAGCTTGGAAGCCGTGTAGGAAATACCATCCTACGATAACGGAGTAGGGTCAAAAGCTTTTGTAAATAAAATAAGTCCACTAACTAAAGATTTTCACAACTTAACCTACGTTTAATAAGCATTTTGATCGGATATTTTTACTAAAGCTCTGTAGGTCACACAGAGGTAGGTCTCCCGAAAAAAGAAACCCGATCGATGACTTTATTGATATATATATGTTCCTATACCGAAATACAATATTAGATTATATTCTGTACACCAAGAAACCTCTTAACAAAACCTCAAATCTGCTTTATATAATTACACGTACGACACAGGCTTTTTGTCAAATTGAAGAAGTATTTCTACTTCAGAGAGACAGGTGAAATAAATTTTCATTGACATTTCTTTATTTAATTTACGAGAAACCTTTCGACAGTATCAGGTTACATTATAGGAGATTACATTTTCATGTATTTTATTAGGTACGAAGCAGACATAATCTAAAACTTCAATTGAAAATGTTTGACGATTATTCCTCTGCCTTTAATGACAATAATGTGGCAGTTATGTTTGCTATATCGATAAAATATAATTACTATAATTAATGTATGCATTTTAATACATATTTCAGAGGTATTGTTATAAACTTATAATTATTTTATATAATTTTAAATTTTTCCGACGTTTCGCGTGCTTTACAGCGTGGTCACGATGACTAAAGACAAAAGGTGTTGAATGTCAAAAAGTATCTCAGCTGTAGAAAAAGTTGTATTATCTATCGACTAAAAGATGGAGGGTTTTGGGAGAAAAAGTGTTTTTTTTAAGTATGTAAAAGTTATGTCAATAAAAGACAATACTATATTTCAGAGTTTGATTGTCTATTGTTACCGTACTTTTACATATTTCAATTCCTGTAAACAAGCTTTAATGTTAATATTTTTTTGTCCCTCCTATCAACTTAAAATGAAAGTTATATTGCCCCACAGGTTCATAAAAAGAACCATCTGATCGATTTTGTTCATTAAACGAAGGAATTCAGATTTGCGTAAAACATGACGTGTAGTTGCGAAATGTCAATTCAAATATATTCGATTGTATTTCTGTCACTTTGATCACGTTCACCAACATCACGAAATGTCCCGTTGACATAGAGTAATTAATCGCTGTTCAAGTAATATTACTACGCAATTTCTACAATAATGTCTGATCTAAGACTCACGAAACGCATAAGGTTTATAGAACGAACGAATTTTGTACCAATGTTTTGTTACCTACTAATTCTTTAACACGTACATTCTACAAAATTTGATCACGTAGCCCGATCAGCTTTGTACATTTATCCTATGTGTACTTAAAATTAAAGTGAGGTGGTACAGCGACGTATCTCTGCCTGAATATAAATTTAAAAAAAGTTACATTAATGATTTTTACAATTTAATTTACCTGCCATTTTGCGGATTAGGCGAGGCGGCTTTTTCTCCTTGGACGAGGAACAGAGAGCCTCGGTCGGCATCAAGAAGAATTGAAACGTTTTGCAGGATTTTATGGCATAAAACCCGTACTTCCAGTTCATTGCAAATGTCCTTTACCTGGAAATAATACATGAGTAGTTAGAATTTGTAAAAAGTAGCGCAAATGATAATAAAGATCTAAAATTGTAACTTCTCTGTGGCTACAAGAAATATAACATTTTATTTGATTTATCATCTATGCTGTATGGCCTTTTATGGACTTAAACCCATATTGCATTAGGCCTCCTCTAGCATTTCCTGGAAACATTACTTATCCCTGTTTCTTTTTAACGCATAATTAAAAGTCTAACGTTTACGTGATACTACTCATTTTTGTAAAATTCTATATTCTGTTTTCCGAATATCAACGCGATTTATATAAGGTAAAATATGTTTTATTTAAATACATGTTGGTCTGAATTAGTTTTTTTAAACGGTAGCTTCAAAAAGTTGCCATATGTACAATAAGGTTTGCAATCGGACAGATCCTTGACAAGATATTTCTATTCCATTTAAAAGAGTGCAAAATATGGTATTGTAAAATTTATAGCTAAAACAATCCAATTTAGTTTTTTGATTCCAGTTATTACTACCACAATCTATTCTTCTAATACATCTAAACAAACAAACACTGGGTCAGTCACGTTCAACCCAAATTCAAGATAAAATTAATCATTCGTTATATCAATAGACTTGAATAAATAGCGATGGAAGATTAAACAAATGTTCGGCTTGTCTCGGAAGATGTTGAAATATGATACGTTTGTGAATTATTAAGCTGTATTAATTATAACTGCTTTGGCCTAGATCTATTTAAATATTGAAAATGAAAATGTGTATACAATTTAATATTTATTGAAACAATTTTCGATGCATTCTTTCACTATTGGTTTACTGTTCAATGTGAAAGCGACTTACGTAAGTTTCCGAAATATCGGTTTAGCTTAAAGTAGCAAGGTGGTTTTAGTGGAAAAATTTCCACATATGTCTCTGATGAATACAGAGAATGCTGAGTAAAGCATGCACTAAGCAAAATGCAGAAGTATGCTGTGCGTCCAAAAGAAAGGACTGAAGATCCTCAACTATTCTTACCACCGACTGGCCGGAGTGGTATATATGATCATATATGAGTACTATGTTCTTAGAAACACTTCTATAGCGCGATTATAAGTATGGCGTCATCGTACTGATTACAACCGTAGATATTGCTATATGCGTATTACTAATAAAAAAAGTTTAAACATATGTAAATCGTTCTCTGGACTTATGGAAGGGCACACGCGTAAAATATATAGTACGTATGTTTATTTGATATTACTATGTGACCCTGACGTAAAAAATAACAAAAAAAAGGTCACTTTACAAAATTTACTTACGTGAAGTTATTTGCGATAATAATAAACACAAATCGATCGTTCGATACTATTTGCAAAGTGTATTAACGTCTGGTATACAAAACGAAGGAAATTTGTTCGGAAATCAAAGGCAAAACTTTGGTGAATGGTTCTGAAGGGTTGGCTAAAGTTATCGGCGTGTGAGGCAATTCAACTCGAATCCGTACCAAGTATGGACTTTTGACAGTTGACACTTCATACAAAGTAATTTATTCAAAGGTCCTAACTTTGATTATTAGCAAGAAACAATACTTGAGTTGTAACTTCTGTTATGTTCGAATAATGCTATGTCTTCCTTATAAACGATACGTGGTTATAATAAATCCTACAATTTAACCAAAGGAAGAGGTTATCAATAATATTTTTTTTTGTGTTTAAGCATGTCCGTGCCTTGCCGTGGACCAATCTGGATGACTGAGGTGTCAAATGATTCGGAATAAATTTGACTATTAGGACATAGGGTTCCCGTTCAAGTATTACGTAAACAGATCTACTGTAATTTATATCCTCTTGTCAGCAAAAGTAAAACTCAAAAATAATAGTAGGTACCTAAACGTATAAATTTTTTGTAGGAATCCTCAAAAATGCATTTCGTTTTTAAGCTTATACAATTTGGGTAATGTGTTCAAAAGGAAATAATTACCTACTGTTGACGTAATCACCAAATATTGAAAATCAAAGACCCCCCTTGCACCTACAGTCCTTACTTAATTTGATTCAACACTAACAAATATTAAAACGCCGATATATATTGTAGGAAAATAGATTTCCATCTACAAAAATAAAATAAATACTGTCTTCGAAAGCCTTTATACGATATCTTAAAATAACGCGTCTACGGGAGGGTCCTTCTGCGTAAGCATTAGAATCGGCGATAAGCGAAGGAGGGGAAGGAAATCCCGAATCCAGTAATCATCGCCCTTGCAAACGAAGTTCATAAATATTCATAATGCCATGCCAGTACCAAAATATTCTGTTCGATTTTGAAAGCATTTGTAACAATTATAGATAATATATTTAACTTAAACGTTAGTGTTCTCATGGTCCGTAATCATTTGGTGAAATACTTTCACAACAAAAGTGTATCAGGGTCTCTAATGATGAATAATATTATAATTGTATGAGTTTTATTGATGGAAATAGATTGTATAACGATTTTGTCAACCATTTCATGATATGTTCAGTATTGGTTGCATACATAATATCTGGTTTTGATAATAGTATAAGGAGACATTTTTACTGAAACGAAAATTTACTGGCTTAGCTAAAAAAAATCCAACAAACACACAAGTAAGTGAGAATTTTTGGGTCTAAGGCAAGCCGGTTTACTTTCGATGTTTTCCTTCACCGTTCGGGCGAATGTTTAATGCGCACATAGACAGAAAGTCCATTGATGCACGGAAATTGAACCTACGACCTCAAGGATGAGAGTCGCTGAAGCCACAAGGCCAACACTGCTTTAGCTAATCCTATAAAGATAAAGCAGATAAAATGGAGAATCATATGTACCTGTTTCACAAATAACAAAAACATTATATTAATACAACAAAAAGTAAGAATCTACGAATAATTTATCTACGTTAAAGATAATTAAGATATGAAGAGAAAATATAAGCAAGAGACTATAAATAACAATAACATTGGAATATTGGTCTACGAAAATGCAATTCCATAACTCATTGGTAATAGAATCCAATGACAGTCGTATAGAAACGTAATTGCATTAAAACAACGTCATTAATTCTAATCAGAAGTTCACAATTGCGTAAATAGTACATTGTAAACGGTATGATTCACGTCATTGAATCTATGAATACTGATTCGGATATCCGGTTTGATTGATATAATACTTAAGAATACTCAGTACTCACGTCATAGTATACGCGATAGAACTGAACTTTAGATAGCAAGTTCTTGGAAGCCAATAACGTTATTAAGCCTTTTGCTTCCAAAGTCGTCAAAAGAACGGATATTTCGTAGCAGAATTACACAATTTTTAGACATATTATTAATCTACCATAACTATAACAGACTGCTGACTGACCGCTTTTTAATTTAAGCAAATAGATAAAGAAAATACAATTATTATATAGGTAACATTAGTATAGCCTAACCAAGTAAGGGAGCGTTCAAGTATTACATAACGCAATTTTTGGAGATTATTGGAACACCCCTTATGACTAAAAGTTACCATTATGTGGTGATAAGTACTGGAAAGTCGAAAATAACAATAACGCGTAATTCACTCCCAACCCCGCATCGTAACGTTTTACAAAAGATCCCCCCCAAATTCGTTACGTAATACTTGAACGCTCCCTAACCAACCAAAATGTAATTCTAATTAAAAATGTAGTCAGTACGTTTTTAATATATCAATGTATAGCTACAGAGGTAGCCGCTCTTTAACCGCTAACGACAAATTTCGCACGTGATCTTATCACCGATATTACTAATTACGTGGCATCGTATTAAAAGCTATTTAGGGGCTAGAATCACGTCAACCTGTATCCGATTATCTATCAGGGCACGTACTTCCGAACTCCGATCTTCGGAAATTGTGTTATACCCCGGGGAGACTCCAAACAGAATTTCAAAAGTTAAATCACCTTTTTAGCTTGCGGATTGTACTTACCTATAAATTTTTATTACAATCGTTACATACCCTAGGCGATAAGGGTTTTATCGCTTGCGAATGTAACATTGTACAATAACAATAATCTTTATACAGAGATAAGATAAACCACCTAATAGAAAAAGGCTTTAAGGGTTATTGTGGATGCATATTGCGTTAAAAATACAATGTACAAATCTTCTTTATGATAATTTTTCTTCTGCCTCGTAATTAGCTACTACTTATGTATATTAAGTGCGACTCAATTAACCTTTGGATTAGCTTTTACATTTTTGTTTATACATATTATTATTTTTATTTTTTCTTTAGATTTTTACTTTATTTTATTTTAGTTATAGTTACATGTTATTTTGAGTTTTTTTTTGTTAATTATTTATACACTTGTGCTGTACCTTCTGTAGGTGTTTCTTTTGAAATTGTTCCATATTAGGGTTGCCTGGAAGAATTAGTCGCTTGTTAGCGATAATTTTCCTTCAGCCAAGACCTGTTATAGCTGTAGGCCTACTTTAAAGAAAGCTGCCGCTCGAAATAAAGTCAAGCAAAACTATTCTTGTCAGAGCTATTTCTGTCGCTTTTATCACTGAATGTTCAAATTGCTATTTGAGCCTCACTCGTGATTAGTTTTCTTACAAAATAATATATATGTATACATATAAATAAGAGTTTTATTGATGACTAGCGGTACCTATATATATGTACATTTGTTTTTTGTTTTTTTTAATTTTTATATTACTCAGGGGTAATGCAGTGTTTGATATCGGTTTAGTTTCTACAAAATACATAATTTGTTTTTGTTTAGTATATATATTAGTGCAAGTGCATTTGTCTTACGCGAGTATGTACTACATATTTAATTACATATTAAACTAATTCATTACATTAATATACATCGTTTCTCTCGTTTATCTCGCTTAAATTATTTGAAAAGATAAAGTAAAAAAAATACTTACGTTAAGATGCAGATAATACATAAAACTAACAAGTTTTTAATATATTAGGTCCTTACATACGAAATTGGCGTATTTCGTACTGGCCACTTTAATGACGATGTTCTCCTCTTTGGTAAGGAATTCCAAATTCAAATTTGTACAGCTATTTACTCATGTATTTGTGCTTCGATGACCGTCATTCATTTGTTTTTTTTTGTTTGCGTCACTCATTTTACAAAATGGAAAACTTAAAGTATCGCATTATTTACGAGTACGAGTTCCGCCGTGGCACTAGTGCTGCGGAAACGACTCGAAGGGTGAATGATGTGTATGGCGGTCATGTTGCAAAAGAAAACACAGTTCGTTTTTGGTTACAACGGTTTCGTTCTGGAAATTTCGACCTGCAGAACAAGCCCCGTGGACGGCCTGAGACCCAAGTTGATAATGAAGTATTGAAGGCTATTGTGGAAGCGGATCCATCGCAAACCACGTCCGAGTTAGCTGCAGGCTGCGGTGTTAGTGATAAAACTGTTTTAATTCACTTGAAGCAAATTGGGAAGATTAAAAAGCTTGAAAGATGGGTACCTCACGAATTGACTGAAGCAAACCGGCAAACGCGCGTGGACTGCTGCGTTACATTACTGAACCGGCACAATAATGAAGGTATTTTAAACCGAATCATTACCTGTGATGAAAAATGGATTCTTTACGATAATCGAAAGCGCTCAGCGCAATGGTTGGATCCTGGCCAGCCAGCCAAATCCTGCCCCAAGCGCAAATTAACCCCAAAAAAGTTACTTGTAAGCGTTTGGTGGACTAGTGCCGGTATTGTTCATTGCAGTTTTCTCAAATCTGGCCAGACTATTACGGCTGATGTCTATTGTCAGCAATTGCAAACCATGATGGAAAAGCTAGCGGCTAAACAACCTAGGCTGGTCAATCGCTCCAAGCCACTGCTACTTCACGACAACGCTAGACCACACACTGCACAACAGACGGCTACCAAATTAGAAGAGCTTCAATTGGAATGTCTAAGACATCCTCCGCACTCCCCGGACCTTGCTCCAACAGATTACCATTTTTTTAGAAATTTGGACAACTTCTTGCAAGGGAAAAAATTTAACTCTGATGGGGCAGTCCAAATCGCCTTCACAGATTTTATTGATTCCCGTCCGACTTGTTTTTTTAGTAAAGGGATCAATGAACTACCTATGAGATGGCAAAAGTGCATAGAAAACAATGGTTCATACTTTGATTAATTAAATATATTATATTTAAAAATATTCGACTTTTTGTTCCTCCCATACAAAACGCCAATTTCATATGTAAGGACCTAATATAATAAAAATATACATATTTTTGTAAGTCAAATGAAGTCTGAAGGTAAGGAGGAATGTAATATCAAACTGATTAGAACAAATTAAAGAGTTATTCTCAAACCTCTTTATAACGTTAGTGGGTGTGTCTTCATCTTTTAATTATTCCATTAATTTTGACGAGTAAAAACTTTAACGTTGACGAAAAATATATTAAAACGAGGACTAGTATGAAAAATTCAAATGTCTCAGCAACTTTTAAAGGTTTGAAAGAAATTAAAATGCAAAAACTTAATTTTCTTATAAATTTATTAAAAACGATGCGGTCAAAGAACTTTCACCTCTAAAAGAGCATTTTAAAATTAAGTATTTTTGTGATTCTGTTTCAGGACTTTCCTGATCAACTATCACCGCTGAGGATTGCCGAAGACCACCACAAACTGTGTGGTGTCATTAACATAACCTTAAAGATAATTCCAGAAGATTGTAACGATCGCTAGGTCGGTATTAGCTTAAAAAGGGTCGGGTAGCTGTAGCGGCTTATAAGTTAATGATAAGGCACGCCTTCGTGTGTATTAACGTACACTATGTTTACATATAATTGTTATCAACCGGGGACCCCCACTATCAGTGACCTCCGAGTTCAGAGGCCTGAATTCGTACACATGTAGACATGGATCATTTATAATGTTATATATTCCTCAATTCATGGAAAGAATAAATAAAGTGTGAAAAAAATTACATATTTTGCGCTTAGTAAGGCATATTTTTGAACCATCGGTTCGCTGGCTGTTGTTACAATTTTAACTTAAAATAATAAGCCTTGAAAAATTTCACACACAATTGTCAGTCGTAAGGTAATAGTTAGACTAATAATATAGTAACTAATACGTAGTGTTTGTGCGTAGTGTGAACTATTTACCTTTAAATAGTTCACACTACGCAGAAACTGATGTAATTATAAAAATATAAAACCCAAGCGAAACAAAAATGTTGTGCATCAACTAAACCTTGATGCCTAAATAGATTTTTGACATTTTCAACATACTCATACTTTCACTACAAGCAATATCATAACAAACTTGAAATCTGATAAACCTTAACAAATAATCAAATCGATAGTATCTAGGCTCATAAGCCTTGCCTTTACCAATAAAATAATCGAATAACGTTTAAGTGTGGATAAAAACGTAAGACAGCAATTATTAAATTCAAATTTTATGAAGCAACTCTACAGGCGTTAGTGAGCTTCAAAAATTGTTAACCTTGCCATCGTTTTAAAGATTCAAAGGTCCCAGAGTTCACATTTCCGTTAAAATATATTTTTAAGGTAAAATAACAACACAATTCATTTAACGTCTAAAACATTTTCCCTACAAAATTAACGAGATTTAATTAACGAGATTTAACTAACGAGATATTCCAATAATTAGGCGTGAATTAGGGTTTTTAATTAAATATTCTATCAAAATTCAACATGGTACTTTTAATGTACACCGCGACGTCGTGGTGGACAGAAAAACTTCTTTTTTTAAACTAAAATAGTAGTTAAACAAATAAACGACGTTATAATTATTTGAAATGCAAAAAATCATTATATCTCCTTGATATATCTCTTATTTGAGTGATTCTCAGAACCGTAGTAATACCATCATTATACACTATTTGTAAAAGAACAGATGTACATATAATATAGGAATATTTTTTTAGTAAACACTTTAAGATATACATCGAATACTAAGGCTACTATTTCAATTTCGTGCTGAGCATCACTTTTTTTTCGCTTGGGGTTTATAATTATTATATAATTTAGTTAATATTTGTGCGTATTGTGAACCGTATAAAGGCAAAGTATTACTTACTACATATATACTATCAGTCTAACCTCTCTAATTGTTAGCTTACCTTACGACTGACAATTATTGTGTGCCTTTCTAGGGATTTTAAGTTAAAATTGTGTGACGACGGCCACCGAACCGATGGTTCAAACATAAAACACAAGCTCCGTTAGTTTGAGTTTAGTTGACTCAATCATAATTGTAATCAATGGTTTAGCATCGGGGGCCTGTCGTGCCTACAACAATGTAACTTATAATAAACAAATAAAAAAGCTGGATCTACCAACCAGTTCAAAGATAAGCTCCTTCTCATCCAGCTGCTTGAGCTCATGCCGAGAGCGCCTCTGAGGCCTTGAGGGTGTCGCATGAGGTTGGTCTCCCAGGAAGGTGGGAGTCCCATCTACAGTCGTCACTAGTGGCTTCAGAAGACCACCTCTCTCGAACTCGTGCGCTGAGATCTTTCTGTAGCAATAAGAGACAAATTAGAAAAAGATAAAGATAGATAGAAAGATGAAAGGAATGCAATAAGAGAAATCTACAAGCCTCAAAACATAGAAATATATTAATGCGTGTTTTGTTGATTTTTATTTTTTGCCATAAGGCATGAGATCCTGTTGCTTCTATCCCGAAATAATGATTGAGTTATATGAAACAAAATAAAAATAATACAGAAGAACCGAGTGTTTTAGCTTTCTTTTCTTAAATTGTGCACACACAATTAAAAAAAAAGTAACAAAATAAACTTCACCAATTAACGCTGGTATTTTGAATAGAAGGTGTGATATGGTCTCCATTCTCAATGAATCTCTAGCACTTCAATAAATATATAATATTATCAAAGGTCACGGAATGTATGACATTAAATCTGACGTCAAATCATTATTCTTATTACTGTAACTTGAATATCTCATTGTAGGTCAGAAACCCGAATAAGGCACGTTTCTTGTATTTATAAAAGCTCGGGTACATTTGTGGCCTATATCTTTTCCCGATTTTCTCTCAAAATGTATATACGCCTTAACGAGCGGAGTCAGTGAATTCTACATAGAATAAGTAATGTTCTTTAAAAAATGTTTTTCATAAAATGGGGAACGCTGCTAAGTTTAGTGGTTGAATATTATTCGATAGAACGCCATTCATGTGCGTTTAATTGCGTGTGATTAAGTTTTTTTTAATCACTATAACGTTATCAATATAATTGTACCTATTATAAAAAACAAATAAGCATGTGTCTAAAGTTCCAGTAGCCACTTTAGGAAAATAATGTTTAATTATAGAAGTCGGGCGTATTTCCTTCGATGCACTCCACTTGTAAAACAAAGCTTATATGTCTATAGCCTGTAATATTAAAAACTGCATACTAAGCCGTCTACCAGTTTTGCACACCGTCGTAAACATATACATTATACAGCCTAATACTTAAACTGATATATAGATATTGGTTACCATGGTTACCATTTTTTAAACATCGAAAATAAAACGGTATCCATTAACAAACGCGGTACTATTACTTATACTTTTTTCACGCTAACAACCGAAACATTTTGTCGATTTCATTTGATTATTTTTACAAACGGATTGAAACTTAAGTCAACATCTGATAGATTTAATGCTAACCTTTATTGAACAGAGGTTAACAATTTATCTAAGGCCGTTGACCTTTCGGTGCTTCGTGGAAATGTTAACAATTACCTGTTTACAACTTATTTAAACTTTTTCAACATTAGTGTCAAGTGCACGACCGCTACACTGTTGAATTTGCGATTTTCTCAGGCATAAACAAATGTTATACACTTTAAATTTTAGTTTTAATAGTCTGTGTGAAAGTTTTGGTTTTGGGAATAACGTACTAATATGTGCAACAAACGTTTGTATTTCTATATTCTTACCGAATGAAAATACATATCACTATACGAAGGCTAGCCACAAATGAGATTCTCCGCGGTTATGCGAACTAATATCATTTTTAAAATATTCAAAAAATGTATTTTCTTTTGTTTTTTAATATTAAGTATTAAGATAATTTACCTTCGAACTATAATTAAGTAACTGACAGAACTTTCCGTGCAGACTACAAGCATACACTTTTATTGGATTACATTATTAACATTCTGAAACGCACTTCGGGTAGGTGTTATAAATTTGAATTCAGAATAAGCATTTAGTAAGATATTCAGATTTGTTCTTCTATTTAAACTGGAAGTATGTTTTTATAAAGTCGGTACTATACAACTTTAGTCTATATGGGATCATCTTACATGGGAGTACTGTATTTTATAGAGCATAAATGGCCTACCCATCTGATGTTAATAATATTTGTACACAGATACAAAATGTCAGAAAAATATGTCAAAAAGTGAATTTTTTTCTACAACCTACAAGTGATTAATTTTCACTGAAAAAGTTAATAATACGACTTTCGAAGGTTTTGGTAACATCTGGTATCACCGCGATAGAGATGTTGCAATTTAGTAATGATAATAAATCGTCACTAACAGAGGCTGTTGGCACCTAGCCAACTCAGAAATGGGATTTTTACATGCGAAAAAAGCGTATTGTAAGGCGCCTAACTTATTGAAGGCATACTGAAGCACAGTTCTCAGCAATATTAAAATATTCACTCTTTATTTATTATAAATTTCGTCACCTTTATTATCAAAGTAGCTATTCAGGCTTATGACTAAGGACTCCCACACAATGCGAATTCGCATCGCAGGAACTTGCGAAGCGAATTTCTGCGATACGATTTCGTGCGGCAAACCGTTTGGTAGGGCGACCATTCCTTCGTAGTCAGCCGTACTGGACGTGTTTTTAGGAAGCGTAAGATGGATCGCAAAAAGATTATTGCACTGCTGTTATTGTTAAATAGATATAAAAGAATAAGAAGATTTTGGGTTCATCCATTTATTACGATTATGAACTCTGATGCCAACTTTCACAGACGCTCTTCCACGCATCTTGCTTAGTAAATTTATTTTTATAATGATCATCACTTATGTCCCAAAGGACGGGACGCTCCTCAATCATATCATCGCAAATTCCTGCGATGCGAATTCGCATCGCATCGCATGGCAGTTTTGAGTGGGAGCCCTAACGCCTATACGCATCCTCGATAACTGATTCACAACGCAAAGGAATTTACAATTCGAACAAGTAACCAAACGAAGACACACTTAACTTAGCCATATGTTTTTAAATTAAAAAATTTTTGCTACTTTTATAATCAAAGCGATTGAATTCCATTTAAAAATAAGAAGAGATTATAATTAAATTTCATTTTACATTATTCATGTCTCGCTGTTTGCCTGTATAATTATTATGAATCGATCAGTCGATATAACGTATCTACGAAACCCACAAATTAGATTTATGAGGTCATAATGACATATATCACGGAAATAATATTTTAATTGAATGGATAATTAAATAAATATTAGAATACGTCTTTCCGTACTAATTTTAATTGTAACAGTGGAAGCTAAGGCGCAAGGCATAGCCACGCGCAACTTAAAGGATTGACTGACTAGATGGGTCCTATGTTTGATTTTTGTCTGAAAATGTTTCGGATAAATAGAACAATGGTACAGACTTTCCTAAAGAAAAAACGGACGCATGAGACTTCAAATAACAATCTTTAAATGCAAACATAAGGAATGAACGGTCGTATAGAAACCCAACAGTTTCCTTTCAAGTCACAGTTATATTGTAGATATACCACATAACGACAATTTAATTGAGCAATATTCACCAATAAATGATCATTTTATTAAGCCCAGTGTTATGAAATGCGAAACACATTAAACGAGCTATTAAAACCGAATCAATTTTGTCAATGTAAATACTAAATTGGCGGCAATGCGTGAATTCGCCTCTTGTTAATACCAGCCATTTATAAACCATTGATTAAAACCATTACGAAAGCTCCATTATGATGGCCTTTATGTGTAGGTATTATGATATCTATGATTTGTTTCGCGATACAATACAATACACGTAACATTTGTTTAATGTAATTGAATTTTCAATACAAGCTGTTGTTTTAAACTTAGAATCTTAGTCTTGTGTTTCGAAACTTAATATTGAAATCGGGAATGATTTTTACACGCTTTATATTAGCTTCACCTGTATGTATGTAACCGACTCCTTCGGACTTGATTTTGACCCACTTTTAGGACTCCCACACAAAACTGCGATGCGATGCCAATTCGCATCGCAGGAATTTGCAATGCGAATTTCTGCGATACGATTTAGTGCGACAAACCGTTTGGTAGGGCGACCATTCCTTCGTAGTCAGCCGTACTGGACGTGTTTTTAGGACGCGTAAGATGGATCGCAAAAAGATAATTGCACTGCTGTTATATTATTGTTAAATAGATATAAAAGAAAAAGAAGATTCTGGGTTCATCCATTTATTACTATTATGAACTCTGATGCAAACTTTCACAGACGCTCTTCCACGCATCTTGCTTAATAAATTTATTTTTATAATGTTCATCACTTTTGGACACAGGACGGGACGCTCCTCAATTAAAAATATTAAAAAATCCATATCGTATTCCGCAATTTTTTATAAACAAAGAAGGCGGCGGAGGCGCCGCGCGTCTTTCTCTAAAGCTGTCTCAGAGCGGACTAAAAGGGCGTCACCAAGGATGACGTAATATCGCAAGAATGTGCGATGCGAAGCAGTTTGGAACTTCTTGCGGTGCGTTCGTGCGAATTCGCAGATATTTGCGATGCGATGCGAATTCGCAGTTTTGTGTGGAAGCCCTTAACGGACAGATTTTATTCAAACTTTGCGCACCTGTCAAAGATCGATGACAATGCAATAATCCGAAAAAAAATGAAAAAGAATTAACTAAAAAATAAAAAATAAATAATAGTTTAAAAAACTAAAAAACACGCTTTTAAAGCACATCAAACTAAAAAGTGAAAAATAATTTAGGCTGAAAATGGTAATGAACAAAAAATACTGGTATTATTGTGAAAAAGCGTGGGGCGCTCTGTGCCATATTTTTCGTCTATCGAGCAACCCATAAAACTAACTTTTTTTAAACTATTATTTATTTATATTAAATTCAATAATTTACTAGTTGGACCTTCCATGAAAAGTGCATTGTAATGCTATTATTTAGAAATTACCTTAAATTACTATAATTGTATCAAAACTTGATTCTATTGAAGAGATACTCGTAGAACAATGACGGTATCACTATGTTTGTGACGAATATTATTATCCGAAAATCACCAAAAGCCCTACGGATATCAGGACAAAGATCATTTCAATTTTTTTTGTATAGAACCGGGGACATATGAGCAGGAGGCTAACCTGAAGAAGTGATACCGCCACCCAGAATGCCAGAAGGTTTGCGAGTGCGTTGCCGGCCTTTAAAAAGTTGTACCGGATATGATTATACACGTACAAATAAACGTTAACGACGTTTCATCAACCAAAAGAGTGAGGGTATTAGAAAGTATATTTTATTATTGGACTGTTGATACACGCCTTAAATATTATGAGGAAAAATACAGTGAAATTCCATTTGAGATTCTATCTACAGTTTTCAAGGCATAACTTTGATCATTAATAATTGATTCATCTTTTATCTCAAGATAACTGAAAAGTGAGATCAAGTTAAATAGTTATAATTTACTTATAAAAAATTGACTCCTAGTGACATTTCAGCTTCCTAGCATTATACGCTGAGGGTAATACATTGAAGCAACGCACATATTGTCGCTGTAGAATGATAACCTCGTAAGTCCAGAGAACCAAACATTACAGAAAACGAAAAAATGATTCATTTCGTCAATGTTCGTTACAATATTATTACGTGTTTTTGTCCATAGTTTTAGATGGTTAAAAGGACTTATTTGTTAATAACATAAATAAGTCCTTACTTCATGATTATGCCAGTTAAATAACATAAGTCTAAGAATAAAAAATAAATGGTTTTTTGACATACGAGGTTATCATGCTACAGTGACGATATACACTTTTAAAGTGTTATTTCTTGTTTTCTTTAGCTGCAAAGCTTATTTAAGTTTTTTAACTTTATTTAAAACAGTCTAGATTGGTTCGAGGTAACTACAGTTAAATAACAAATTCAACTTACCTAACGGGTGTAGTGGCTCCAGAGCCAGCTCTCGAAGGGGATGGAAGTTCAGCACTGGGCGGTGTAGCATGGGACACCAACCACGCATCCACCACTTGTCGCGGAGCTTTTCTGAAAATTAACCATCCAAACACTTAAATAACGAAGTTAAGCATAAAATTAAGCTAAGGAATTTAACGTCACCTAGTGAATAAGAATTCATTCTGGGGGACCTTTGGCAATACAAATGTGTAACTAGAGTTATAAACGCGAACGAATTTGTTTATTAATTTTTTTAGGAGGGATATTGTTTTGAAGTGCGTATCAACTGAATTGTGGAAAATGTAGTAAATCAATGACTAGGTAGATGTGCCTATCACCGGTTTTCAAATGAAAATTACACGTAATTGCGACAAGTACTACAATTTGCTCTAAACAGCGATTTTTTTTTATTTTAATAAATTGATCGGTGGCGCTTCAAACGTTTTAGGTCTGGGCCTCAGATTTCTGTATCTGTTTCATAATCATTTGTTAATCTAATAGGCAAGTACGTGATCAGCTTCCTGTGCCTGACACACACCGTCGATTTTTTGGGTTTAAGACAAGCGAGTTTCCTCACGATGTTTTCCTTCACCGTTTGAGCGAATGTTAAATGCGCACATAGAAAGAAAGTGCATTTATGTGCAGCCGGGGATCGAACCTACGACCTCAGGGATGAGAGGCGCTCGCTGAAGCCAACACTGCTCTGTTTTTATTTATATTGTTATATTCATGTATACGTATTCTGGTTAAGAAATCCGGCCGCTGGCATTAGACAACTACCCACAAACTGTAATATACAAAACGTGACGTCAAATTCACCTTAATATGCTGTTCGTTTTAACTACCGTTGAGTCAGCTTCGAACTTTGATCGTAACAAAATATGTTGGGAACGTGAATTTTTATTGTTTCGCTTTTGTAAATATAGCACGTTGTAACCGAGCAAGTTAGAAATATTTTATGCCTTTTCTTGCAAAATTACTTTTAATGGAATTACTAATGTAGATTTAGATCACAAATATCCGTAAAGTTGTTTAAAAATATTTTATTTAAGTAAATTATGGTGAAAAATTACCCAAAATAACATTTTCCTAATTTTTGGTACTACGAGTATATACCTAATGTTAAATATAACTAAAATCTAACAAAATTTAAAACTACCATCCGCCGCCCCGCAATTTTCGAGATTTCATGAATTTTGAAGAAACATTAACATGCACACAAAAATTAACAAAGATTGATTACTACATAAATAGAAATACAATAAGTATTAATATAATAAAAATCAGACAAATTGGCCCCACTCAGACCTTTTGAGGATATTGAGGAAATATATAAAGGAATGAAAAGAGAGATAGATAAAGTAATATATATATATATATATATATATATATATATATATAAACTGTTATATATTATTTATTTAATTACACATCGTTACCTTACATACATATCAAAACAGTTTACATAAGTTATTAGGCAACGGGCCTTATCGCTAACAAGCGTTTCCTTCCAGGCAACCCTAGCAAAAATAAAAAATAAAAACCTACTGAGGGTAAAGTATAAGTGCATAAATAATTAGCAAAAAAGTACATGTAACACTAGAAATATCCTAACTAAAACTAAAATAAATAAAAAAGTTAATTCACAAAGGACAAAAATGAATTACACACCCTAATGAGAATCACATTATTACTAAAATCTGTATGGTAATTTGAGATTATCGCGTTCATGTCATGGTGTTCTATGTCGAAATTTCAAATGTTTTTCTTGTAAGCTTAATACAAAACATTTACGGTTTAAAAATTTTAATGGTCTCTTATCTACATAATATGGCAGTAATAAAAGTTTAATTTTCTTATAATATACAATAATTTAATGGGTAATAAAATCTGTTAAAGCTATCTAGTATGCGTAGTACATTAGCGACAATGTTAGGATAGGTAATATGTAGTTATAACTTATACCTAACCATAAAATTATGTTCCTGCACATTAAAATCTTCGAAGGGTTATTATTTTTAATAACAAAACTATAAGACCTCTAGAAATACATAATAATATAAATGATAAAAAAAAATAAATTAAAATACATCTTTTAGAAATATTTCAATTTATTAAATTGTCCCGTATATTTTAGACGCTGATTGTATACCTAACTGAATACCGGTTGGTCGGCCAATTTCATAAAATATTTCTAAGTTTCTATATAAAATATATTTTTTTTTGTTAGAAAAAAATCAATATTGAAGTTAGGGAATGAAACTGTATTATCAATTTATTCCTTGTTATACAAAAACCTTTTCTATTCAGATTCAAAAGCTCAATAATTATTCAGATATCAAAGCACATACATACTATATCGAAATATAAATAACGGCATGCTGGCAGTGATAGCAAGAGGGCTAGATTGCCCTTACATGAGTCACTGCAATCTACGACATGTGCCTCCACGGTAAAAATACCGCATCTGTGTGTGTTGAGAAATATTAAAATTTACTCTGAAATCATTTTTAACACAATATGATTTCTAATGGCTAATATAATCTAATTTCTGGTCAAACATATAAATTCTTTGTTTGCTTGTAAACATATATATATACTGTATACTTTTATATTCTCTGAACGCCATTATTACTTAGATGACTGACTTGTACAATATTATTCTGGCCGTAAGCAGTGTTCACCGCTACTTTATTGGACACTTTATAAGATTGCCGTTTTGATAGCTTGTAACGTTAATTCATTCAACTTCCTTATTGCCTTCTTTGTCTAGATGTTGAATGAGAAAACTACAACATTAAATGAACGAACAATAAAATAATTCAATATTTAATATTTAAAAGGCAACCCCTTGAATCATGAAAGTCTCGAGTTCCTGTCGAAATGTGAAGACTAAAGGCTGACGAGATGTTACCTGCGAAATGTAATATATGTAAAATACAGGGAGAAAGACGTGATAGGCACAGAGCAAGACACGCTTTACGAAGCCAACCAAACAAAATAATTAAATAAACCTCCGTTAGCAGTAAAATAAGAGAAACAATATATTTTTGTATAATATTCTTTGTTTAGTTTAATAAAAACTATGAAATATTAAAGCGTCTGCTGGAAAATCTCAAACACTTATTGCGAAACGCCCGACCCGTTTTAACCCATGAAACTAGACCAAAAAGATGACGTGTGGATGGAATGGATGTTTAAAAACGTGAATTAGTGTAATACTAATACTTAAAAGATATACACTTAAAAGGTTTAGGCAGGCACCTAAGCAGTAATGAAATATATATCACCATAAAGCAATTTATAGTGATTTCCTTTTTACACGCTTTATATTAGCTTCACCTGTATGTATGTATGTAACCGACTCCTTCGGACTCGATTTTGACCCACTTTAAACGGACAGATTTAATTCAAACTTTGTACACTTATAAAGAATCAGCGACAATATAATAATTTCATAGGTTTATCTCGAAAAAACAATGCAATTTTTTTTTAAGTCCACAAAGCAATACTATTAAATTGAGACACGTATTGCTGCTAGGACTAAAAAGTGGAAAATAAATATAGTTTAAAAAAACTAAAAAACACGCTTTTAAAGCACATCAAACTAAAAAGTGAAAAATAATTCCTAATTTAGGCTGAAAATGGTAATGAACAAAAAATACTGGTATTATTGTGAAAAAGCGTGGGTTGCTCGATAGACGAAAAATATGGCATTTTTTTAGTTTGATGTGCTTTAAAAGCGTGTTTTATGGTTTTTTTTAAACTATATTTATTTTAGTTTACCTTTGCACAGCTTACCAGCCAGTGGACTGTGAGATTTGTATTTAAATTTATATGAGTTAGGTGTCAGGAGTATCTGTATAGTATGTTATAGCAAGCTACAACAATATACGAGTATACGAGAGGGTGAGAACCAAGAACCTAAAAACCATATGCATTCCTAAGCCACACTTACAAATAAGTACGGGACACCCTTAATTTTAAGGGTGGTCTAACCCTAAATTTTTATTTTTAGATAAAAAAATTTGCTTTTACTTTTTTATGATACAGCATACAAAAATACATACAACCTTTAATATTCTCTACGATCAAGCCCTATTTTTTATTTGTTAATTAAAATCTTATGACTTAAACTCTGAGGTTAATATAGAGGAAAATTCACATAAAAACCTGAAAGTTTTCATACCAGAAAACCGAATAGTCTCTGGGGTAGCATATAAAAATGTTTCATGGTGGTATGTACTAAAAAGGTAGGTTAAGGAAAATCACATTAAGGAGAAACCTAAGCCGCTATACATTTTATTTAATACCTTAACAGGAAACCAAGCTTTAAAATCAAATTACTCGAGAACAAATTAACTAGTGACGAAGTTGTAAACTCAATTCGCTGCAAAACTTTGCAAAGAGCTCACGTTAACTAAATTCAAGCAAATTTACACAATAATTGATTTAAAGGTTTAGATTAGCATTGTAACTAACATAATATCATGATATAATAAATACTTAATTATTATAAACTAGCAGACCGGCCAAGCGTTGCTGTGGCTAAGGGTTTTGTTATATTACATAGTAGTAAACTATTCAAGGGAAACGGTAGGAGAACACCAGTCATGGGGACCACCATGCTTTTTTGGTGGTTATGCCATTAAATTGTAGCTTATGTGAAACATTGGTACTTTCAATACAGCGCTATCTGTTAGAATTGTTACTATTAAATAATAAACAAATATTTTGCAATTAAATAATATTGCGGGTATAAATTGAGATGTAAGCTATCCTATCTTTTAAGTTAGATCAAACTGCACACGGTGTGCAAATTTGATTGATATCGGTTCGGTAGTTTAGGAGTACATAGCGGACAAACAACGTGATACGTAATTTATATATATTAAGATTTACTCACATAACTTTTTAGGTATTTTCTTGTTAGTGGTAAGCTATCAATTTAAGTAAGCATTAAAAATTAATTTTAAAACCTTTGTGTGGTGGGTGAAGTAAGGATATGAATAAATCATCAGTTAATCCAATACTGAAATTTATGTGATATATTTAAAAGATGGTTTCAGTATCTATACTAGTATTATAAAGATGAACGATATGATTGTTTGTTTGCATTGAAAAGGCTTCAAAACTACTGGACCTGGTTGAACATTGGTTATAGAATATTTACAAATAGAAAATTTTATAGAAGACAATAATCTACAAATAAGTTTGCGATAACATATATCTAACAAATAAAAAAATGTTTTTGCATTTACCGAGAAAAGCTTTAGTGTTCCATAGACTAAAGCTTATCGTGCTAGGTCCTATTCTATGTATTGGGAATGCTTTATCCTTAATACATGTGTTTTTTTTCGATTCCGAATTTTATATATATGTATATTATGAATATATAACATATGTTCGATTATCTAAAGACTAAATATTTTCTCGGTAAATGCAAAAACAATTTTTTTTTGTTAGACTACAGATTGATGTCTTCTATAAAATTGTGTAGTGTAGCACTTTGCTCTATTGTCATATATATATATTAGATTTCTATTAACAGACTTAGCCGTAAGAGATATCGCTATTAATTGACGTCGTATCAATATAAAGAAATCTAAAAGTTATTCTTGACTCATTCATCAAAAACTTACTAAGTTTTCTTCGCTTCCCCCAAGTTGTAGATAATGAATTTGCCCGTTCGTTAACAAACTTCTTGCCCTTTACAATTCCTAGATGCTATATTTTAGTATAACTTTAAATTTGACGAAATTATAAATACCATTTATTAATTAATTTTATTTTAATAATTAATAAACTCACCAGCGATATTGCGTCACGAAAATTGCATATATAATCGGAGACGATGCTACTAAAAGAGGAAGACTGAATTTGCATTCTCCCTTGCATAACACATGGATGCGAAACTTGTTGTCTGGCAGTCACAGAGAAAGACTTGAGAAGTGTCAAAGGGCAACGGAAAGAAGTGTCCTATATAAGGCTAAGTTATACTAGCTCGTATAGACCGCTTAAAATGGAAAACCAGTCACAAGCTGAGATGCAAAGTTCAATCCAAGAGATGGGACCAGAAGACAGGGGCACCCACAAACACGATGTCCAGATGACATCAGCCTGACCCTCGGGATGTTTTAGACCAGAGTTGCGAATGACTCATTTGAAGAGCTGAGGGAGGCTTATGCCAATAGGAACACCGAATTGCAAGATATATAATGACGAGATATGTTAAGCTTTTAATTCGAAAATAAAAGGGCTTTTTATTATTATTATTATTACTGCTACCAAAAAAGTGTAGCAAATATAAAAATAAGTTTTAAATTTAGTACATAATTTAGTTACAAGTTGTAAATCTTATTTATTTAGTATTAATTAATACTTCATTGCATTAACATTATTAAAATTTAACATAATTAAACGAAAAGGAAGACAACTGGCGGCCTTATCGCTTTTAAGCAATCTCTTTAAAGCAACCACAATGAAAAAAATGTCTTAAATTAGAAAAGGTAAGCAAGAAGTGCAAAAATACATAATACATATAGTTATTAAGACAAAACTAAACAGGAACAAAACAATTTTAACTAAAAAAGGATAAAAAGTGCACAATGCAGATCTTATTAATAAATAAAATAAAAATAAAAGTTTACTTCTGAATTTAGCAAACGTCATCTCTCCCTTTGCATAGCATACAACACGTTGTGCACTGAAAATAGTTCGTTAAAGTTTAAATTAGAATATTCATAGCTTACCTTAAGAAATAATCATGCACGAACTCCTGGTTCTCATCCAGCCAGGCTTCTGTCCGCGCACACTCCGCGTCGTAGCAGGCAGGCGCGGGCATGCCGGCGCCCGCGCCACCTGACGGCTCTTCTATGCTCCGGAGCTGTAGACCTGAAACAAGACAAAGGGTATTAAGTGGCGAAAACATATCAAATTATTAGTAAGCAAAATAGGCTTACTAAACCATATAGCTATGACGAAAATGGTAACAAGTTTGAAGTTAGTATTTTTGGAATTTTATTCGGAATATCCACTAGTTTTGAAGGTGGGCCCTTAAATAGAGTAATTTATTTTGAAGTTATACTTCTATTGGCGCGATGGAGAAAAATTATGAGAGTGAATTTTTACGATGCGCGCGCACACCGACACCTGAATTCTACATCGTAAAGTTAGTTCCAGGTGGCATGAAAATAGATAATAACTATGTTCAAGTTGTATATTCTAGTATTTTTATATTTAGAACACGTGTTTCGTAACAGTACAATTAAACAGTGTGAATGAATAAATATTATTTTGATGTTTTTATTAAAACAATTTCATATAAGACGGTGATAGTATTTACTAATAATAATTTATTATTTATTTTTTCTATAAGCCAAAGAAGTATAACTTCTAACGCGTGTACATAAGTACACAGACTCTTTTATTTTTTTACATATAAAATACTTTCAACCATAATTGTATTCTTGCAAGTTCTTCTTTGTGCTACGCTCTTTATAGATTAAAAAAAAATACAAAAATTTATGTGACGGTGGAACACAAATTTGATTTATGAATACAAATTGAGAACCTTTTTTTATTGACCTTCATAATTGTACATTGTGTAAATTTTATACGAGATTTCACAAGAGATTTGATACTAAGCATCAGAATAAGTCGATAGATAGGTAGGTCGATAGTCAAATTAGTAAGACAAAAGTTGCACACAACGTGTTTGCTTCGTAAAATAAAGCGTGCTTTACGGAATGAAACGTACTTAACAACTCTGGAATTAAAAATCGCAATTTGACGTATTTCTAACTCACAAATGATTGATAAATCATTATTAATAAGTCTACTATAATATTTTGAGTCAATTTTTTTTTGTAAAAACTTTTACAAAATCTTACCAAATGGCCTAGTACTGGAAAGTAATCGAAACATGATGAAATTGTCTTCTCCGTAATGAAGACAACACAAAACACCACTATAACTATTAATTATTCATCAATATTAAATTTAACTAAGGAGCCGACCGTTCCGCGTCCGCGCACGCCGAACAAAGGAAAGAGCTTCGCAAATTATTTGACATTTAAATTTTAAGGAATGAGGGTAGTTTGAATTTTTTATGATATAACGTACATCTAGTTACAAAGACATTTACTTCAAGTTACATTATAATTATGTTTAGTTTTAAAATGTAGTTAATAAGGATTCTAACTACTACAACTAAATGAAATAATATTTTTTTAATGAATGACTGCATTATCCATAATAAGACAATAAATCAATATACCCATTTTAAGAATAAATTGGTGGTGGATAAACATTTTATAAGTATCTATATAATCATCACATTCAAAATTATTTTTTTCATATAGGTAACAAAATGTACACTTATGAACGTCAAAAAATAAATATATATGAAATGCTTCTAATTTCACATTTACTGCTTCTCAAATTAAGCGCGTCGAACGGAAAAGAAGAACTGGCAATAAACTCTCCGGCACTCTTTTTTTACCCTACTCGAGTCGAATTTAGACGTATGGATGCCTAATGAACAAAAATATAAGCTAATGCTAGAAAAAGTACAACGTTGGGATATGAATTACCCGAACAACGGAGCAGTCGGCAATTTACTTTGCACTTAATGTTTCGAGGGGTAAAAGAGACAGCATGGACCTGCTTCCAGAATTGCTTAAACTGTATGTGACTGAAAAGTATTTCTGGCTCCGGAGGAATGCCCTTACAGTCACCCTTAAACCGTTTCCTCAGGTCTGCACCAGAACTGGATATAGGTATGTGGTTTAAGAAGACTGAGGGATGAAGTCATTTTTATTTATTAATAAGAAATAAAATTTGTGAGTATTGAATTATGAAAGTTAGTATATATACTCGTATTATTTGGCATATATTCTGTACAGAAATAAAGCAAGGGGAAAACAATTTTTATTACTATTTGATACTATCCTCACCTTCCCAATCATAACAACCACATAACCAAACCATTATTAAAACTATATAAACGAATTAAAACATTTATCAAATACAATATATAACACTTATAATCATGTTGACATACGTCAGTAAAGACAAAAGAGTATTTACTTAAAAAGGCCGGTTAATTTATAAAATACTAGCTGAAACAGCGAACTTCGTACTGCTTATGACTTCATATATGACAATTACGAAACCCATTGTGTTGGACTTTTATTTAATGTTTTTATTATTCCGCTATTCGGGACGGTACAAATACAATAAATCATAAAACATAAAAGCTGGTCCAGTCGATCTCGAGTCACAAGTTTGTTTTACATATAACAATTTATTAAATTATAATGATTCATGAGCACTTTTTATTATTATTTTTTTCATGTATCCTTTATTAGTTTAGTTTGTTTTTTTGTTCCTGTTTAGTTTCTTTTTCTGAACAACTATTTGTAATACATGTATTTTTGCACTTCTTGCCTACCTTATGTAATTTAATACATTTTTTTTTCTGTTCTCACAGTGGTTGCCTGGAAGAGATCGCTCAAAAGCGAAAAGGCCGCCAGTTGCCTTTCCTTTAAATGTAATTTTGTTAAATTTTTATATCATAAAGCAACAAAGTGTAAATAAATAAATCAATATAAAGTTAAAATGTTTTCTTTCAATGAGAGAACTAATTTAATAGTGTTCATGCGAAGGCATCAACGGTTTTTGTGTTGAATAATATATACATACATACTAATTTTATAAAGAAAGATTTGAGTATTGATTTACATTGAATAGGCTATTAAATTACTAATCCGATATAAGAAAATCTTTCACCGTTTTTATTGAGGTGAAAATGCGCTTACGCAGGCCGGCGACAGATGTCGAGCTTGACGCGGGAACTGTGGGGCTGGGTCTACACTGGGGAAGTGGTAGCGTGACCCACATAAAACACCTCAGCCCTCCACACGCCTTTAATATGCGCCCAAAAATGAGGGATCCTAACTAAAACTCAAATAATGTAACTCGAAGTGTAAAAAATTGACCTATAAATCCCTTACGTGTGCGAAAACTATTGATGATGTAACAAAATAACGTAATTACTACTCATCAAGACATTTTCTACAAAGTGTTGCGACAGCATATGTCTAGTTGTTAAAGTTATGTCACAATCTCAAAATTAATAAAATAATAATATCCAAACTTTCTTTATAATTTTATTCTTTTTTAAACTGACGCAAAATGAAGCGTGTATGTATGTGCGTGTGTATTAGGATTTATATATTTTTGTTAAATATCCGTGCGAAACCTTGCTTGGAAATTATAAAGCTGAAGATTTAGTTTGATTGAAGAAACTACTAAAAATTAGAAACTACTATTAAGGTCAAATGAAAAAGTATAGTGTTAGGTAGTCGATATTACCGTATTGGCCTAGCACGCCTCATCATACCTTTAATCACTAAGATTTACACTAAGGTCCTGCCTAGATGTGCAATTAATATTCGTATCTTTGCACTTTTACACTTGCTTGTACGGTGAAAAGGATAAACGCGAGGAAAATGTCTCAAACTCATCAAATTGGTGTCTAAAGGTAAATTCAAAGTCTAAGTATGACACCTGTATGTCAAAAATGCATCATTTGACAAATGCGATTCTTAGCCCTTAGTTCCAACTGTAAATAATCTAATCACCTACAATCAGCTATCTTGTATTCTAATCTCTTTTGCATAAATTAATTAATAACTTCTAGTTGGAACAATAGGTAGGTACATTCAGTTAATATTAACATTTCAATTTGAAAATTATCAACGTAAAGCTTCAGTCCCTATACAATTGGAACCCAATCAGTCATATTCGAAATTGTCGACAAGCCCCCGCTTAGTAGGCGCAAATACATTGTTCATACAAAAGGGATTAATCATTCGAGTGAGGTTTTAATCATAACTTTCAGTTTTCAAGTGAAATTGAAATTATTTGCGCAAATTAACATTTTCCATGTTATATAATTTCCACATTTTACTGTAAAAAATGCAATGTTTTATGATCAGCAATAAAATAATTACATAGCAACAAAAATATTTAGTAAATATATGTGTTACTAATATTGTTTTCGAGAGACTTTTGCAATAAATAATTAGAAGAAGTAACATACAGAGCGTAGGAAGCGCCGCCATGAAACATAGTAACAAATAAAATAAATTAAGCAATAAATATAAATTTTAACAAATTTAACACCTGCACTGCTCTAGCCCATAAGACTATATATTTATTTTCTTTTTCCTATATTCGTCAAAAGACAAAAATTCTATGACATTGTCCGAATAATGTCGCATTGTCATATTGTACACAGATTAAACACGCTTAATAATAAAACCACATTTTATTTATTAACATTACTATTTCTGTTTAATTTTGGTCTTGTCAACTTAACCAATTAGATAACATGAATATTGAAATACCGAAAATCACCGCTTCAAACCTTAACATAGTAAACTAAGTTAAGAGGAAATCTTATACTGTACTATAATATACGGCGAACAAAAACTTTGCTTGACCAGTTCTAAACTACAGTATTTGTCCGGTACCAGATGTTCGATTTTATCTCGCAAGTTGGGACTATTTACAGTTTATATAACGCCCGCAGATAGGGGCACTGAGCGGCCAATTCACTAACTTAGGAAGTAATTTTAACAATTTACTTCTTGAGATCATTGAGCACGCGTCCTAGAACATATTTGTAACTGTTTCAACACACACGTGTACTATGCTTCCAGAAATCGTCAATATTTTTATTTATAACAACTAAGTCAGTTTTTGCGGTCCAATTACTCATTCGTTCTTTTCTGTCGGGCTGTGAATATTATTGCTTTAGCTAGAAAAGTCAACACAGTATTACACATGTTGTATTTTTACGTAAATCTTAGCGACTCGAATTGTCGTTTGAATCTGTTAATGAATCTCATTTAGACGCTAAAATTGTCTTAACAAGACAGTATTAAAGTAGATGGCACTTATATTAATATATTAGCCATATATAGCTAATAAATAATAGTTGCTCATACAAAATGTAATATTGTTTATTTGTTTTAAATTGTTAGCATTTCCGTAAATATTTATTTGTTTTACGTATGTCGCGAACGCATAAACATGTCTTATATAATATTACCTTATGTCTTATGTCTATTAATATATATATATATATAATCTGTACCATACTATGCAATTATTTTGTATTTTAACACAACACTTAGATTTGTAAATTTCTTCGAAATCGCAAATCATAACGTAAAATCCCTCTTGAATTATAATGATATTTTTATTCTATAAAAATAACATCGTCAAGTATTTTTCACAACGAAAGCGGATTAAAGGAAAAACAAATGAAAATATTCAACGTATTTTCATAACGCATACTTGGAATCTATGACGCAATATGTATTTCAATTAAGGAAAAGTCAACTCTAGTTGTTTAATTAACATTGCGATACTAACATATGATCAGATAAACATTGTAGCGTGTCTGTTGCAATTAATATATAGAGACATAATACGTAACAATTTTGTAAATTGGACGGATACGTATTAGCTCAGTTTGGGCGTTGTATATAAATACTACCTACCTACCTACCTACGTAAATAATTTAATTAAATAATAAACTATTTCAAATTCCTCGGTCTAATACAAACTATTTACATAACTCAGTCATGTATCGTATACCTACAGATTATAACACAAATTACCAGCAAATAGATATATACATAAATGTTTAAAAAGTAATATAAAAAACTGGTATCTTTCAATAATGATGGCTTTGTTATACGTCCTTTATATTAAATATAATAATCAACGCATCTTAGAATTCTTTATATTTTTTTTTATAAATAGGTAAAAATTGTTAACTGTGCTTTATGTTTATGTTTGAATGTGTATTCCGTTTTTGGCTTTCGTGTATAATGTATTTGTTTAATGATTAGCTGTAGGAATACTGATGGGCAAATAAATAAATACATAAACGTGCTACTAAATAGTTTAAAATATTCGAGTTAAAATTCAAAAGATATGATATGAAAAAAACATTCTGTGTCAGCTTATAGAATGAATAACGCGGTTTGCGATTGAGGATTTGATTAGAAAAATAATAAGCTTTTAAACTAAATTGAGTTTGTGTCTTGAGTTCACCACACTTTATGTCGATCATAAACTAATCTAGGTTCCAACTAAGGCGAATTACAACCAGTTTTAAATTAAATGCGTGAAAGGTATTCCTTCAATCACGACTAAAGCTTATGATATATTTAATCTTTGACAATACAAAAAAAATATTTTTATATCACATGTCACTCATAAGTTCAATTCGTGCAGACTAAATTAAATATACATTATAACTATACATTAACCCATGGAAGACCACAGTCAACCTACCAACAGTACATATTTTGTAATCATAAGTATTGTATTCAATTATATAATGTATAGTTGAATACAATTTATGATTCTTAAGGAAAATTATCCAGTTGAGATTTTTCACAGATCGACAAGGATACGGAAAGGTTCAATACCTTTCGTATTGATTAGGGAAAAGCTTTACCAAAATTTCTATTTCCGAATATTCATACTTATACAAAGTTTAATGAAACAAACATATCTAATTATGGATTGCGTTCATTTTATTTATAACCACACTTCTTGAATAGGTTCTGTAAATATAATAATGTCCAGTTGATTCATTAATTCCAAAAACTAAAGATACTGTGGTTATATTAGATATTAGGTTCGCGCCAACTCTGACCTGACATCGTGGATTCGAACTCGGGCTGTGCCCAATTAAATTCTATGTACACAATTAACGCTTGCGTATTCGGCGAAGAAAGATAAGGAGAGGAAATTAGAACTAATACTCAAAGAAAGAAGGAAACATATACAGTAATCTGAAGCTAAGAAATGATTTTGATTGGGGGTACAAACTACAAGTGCACAGGCAATAATTAAGATTTTTTAATTAGAATTTGTTATGATGTCTTGCTTATAAACACTC